ATAGAATAAATTATTAATTAAATAACAATGAACAGAAACAAGAAAAAATCTTATAAAAATAATTCAATAATATTTCTTCAGGATGTCACAGTGTCAAAGGATAAAAAATACGAAGGAATGTGAAAAGATTCTCTCAAAGAGTAAACTTTATTTATCCCTTCGAGAAAAGAGAGCTGAATTTCGCCGTTCATTGGTCAAAGCGATCACTATGAAAAAAGATAAAGAAGAAGAAGAAAAAGAAAAAAAAGAAGAAAAAGAAAAGGATAAGTTTGTTGATAGTAAAGAAAATATTTACTTGACTAAAAACGACGAGGAAATTTTGAGATATTATTATTACGTCATTCATGCAATCGATGACGTATACGTTAAATCGATCGATGATGAAACATTGGAAAATATTTTAAATTTAATTCCGAAAGAACGGCGAATGAAATTTTCAGAATATTTAAACGAACTTATCAAAGAAACGAAATACGATTATAAATTCAATATTAAAAAGGCAGTTGTTGATTTCGTTTTGCAGGAACCTTCGAGGACCGATTACGAATTGTTGGAAAAGGTTGAATTTTTATTTCTTTTTTTTTTTTTTTATTCTTCTATCTTTATTTTATGTTTTAATGAATATCATCGAAAATATATATAAATGGAATTAAATTGAATAGTCAGGAAAAACGAAGGAGAGTGAAGAGATTAAACAATTTTCTATCGAGCACAATGTTAGATACAGAAGAAAAAAATTCAAGATAGAAAGGATTGTCATACTTTACAATAAATATATGCGTAGATCATTGGATTATTGGATCAGAGAATTCAGGTTCGTCGATGAACAAATTAAAAAGGATATATATTTGTAAATAAATCATTTCTAATTTAATTTGGTTTTGTTGAAAGAGACACAGAAGTGATTTTGTTATATTTGTCATAGTAATAAAAGGCAAATCGATGTTGAAGAATTAGCATCTTACGGACAATCTTACGATCTCGCTAGTTTCGATTACAAGGTCACGAGGATGTTGCAAAGAATGCGAAATAATCTTGAGAAAAATTGGCTACCCAAAATTCGTGGTATATTCGGTAACGTAAGGAACAAAAGAAAACTTCTACATCATTTTTATATCATTTTGATAATTTGACAAATATTTATTGTATCATTTTGTAATTAAAGTTCAGGAAGAAAGAACGTAGAATGCGTAAAACTGAAACAACGATTAAACAATTCGAAATAAAAAGGACTTACGATTGTCTCGCTTTGATTATGGAAACGCAATTGCGAAAATTTTGTCTCGATTCTATAGAAGATTATATTAATTATTTTATGGATGTTGGCGTAAGTTATTTAATGACAAAAAAAAATCAAATAAAATATAAAATATTTTATTTTATATATAAAATTATTTTATAATTAAATTAATATAATTTTATCATTATATATATATAAATTTATTTTTCAAAAAGATTTCACGAATAAAACTTTGGATTTCTTTTCTTTTTTTTTCTCTCTCTCGTTCAGGGTAAAAATTGTGGATTCAACGTGAAGATCGTAGTTAAGAACAAAACGATTACTTTCGATCCATCATTCGCTACATTTTCGGAAACATTAACGTCATTTTTACATTCGATTTACGAATCCGTTACGATTTATCCACGTATAGACGATGAACTATCTGAAAATTCTAATAAGAAAAATATGTTAAAGGTACACACGTGTACGAGTTAATTGAAATGAATTATTATTATTATGCGAGTAATATATGAAAATCGATTGGATCAATATTTTTATTTTAGCCAGTAATATCGTCGGATTTGCTCGAACATTATTCCAAAAAAATAATCGAATTGATAGAAGTACATAAAAAGGAGGCTGAAGAACAATTGAAAGATTTTACGATTTATTCAAAATTAATCGACGAAACTGAACAGGAGGATATAGTCGAACCATTTATAAAATCTGATCCACCAAAATCATTCGAAGAATATTGCGAGATCGTTGAACATTATTATCGATTGAGTTGTAATCTTCCAATTATGTTAGATCGTACTTATTTTGGAAAACTTTTTGAAATTCGTAGGAAAGATCTAATCGATCATATAGTATTAGAAGCTGATCGTTTAAAAGAACTTTTACTCGCACATATGGTCGATGATTATCAACGAAATATGCGAGAGTGAGTATTAAAAAAAAAAACAAATAAAGAAAAAAGAAAAAGACAAGATTTGAAATTATTGATTAATTTAATATTTCTTGAAAATAATTTATATTCGTAATATAATATAACATTAGTATAGGAGAACATTATCAAAATATAGCGGATCGTGCATTGAGTATACCACCGAATACTTCTGAACTCGTTAAATTAAAAGAATTCATATATATTGCCGAAACCGAAACGATTTTTATCCTTGAAAGACAGTTGAAGGATTTAATAAAATATATTATCTTTATATCAGATTATTGGGTTCTTACGCCAGTTGAATTAAAGACAAACAACTTTGCTTTCCAATGGTAAATCTTTTTAATATCACGTATTCGTTACGTTCAACGATAAGAAATGTGTATTATTTAAGAAAAAAACAAAGAAACTTTTCTTATTCTACAGGTATCACAAGATATCTTCTATTTTCGAACAACATCGTGAGATAATAGCAAGCAAAACTGGAGAGTATCAGAAAATGTTGAAAGATAGAATAGAAAAATTCGAAAAAGATTTGGAAATTTACTCTAAGTATTGCAACGAGTTGCAATATTGGGGCAATATCGATGAAATCTATCGTTATCAGAAAAAGGCTAAAAGTTTGGAAAATAAAACAATAATAGCTATGGAAATGATCGATAGGTTTAACGAGGAGGAACAATTGTTCGATTGGGAAATGTCGCAATATCCGTTAAGGAAACAGGTAACCGAAATAGACAAAAAAAAGAAATAGAATAAAAGACTATAAATCGTATTTTTGTGTGAAATGAAAAAATCAAATGATTTTTATTTAAACGCGAACCTTCTTCTCGCTATATTAGATTGCCGATAAATTATCACCCTACAAAAAATTGTACGACGTTGGATGTGAATTTCTAACGAATCACGACACTTGGATGAATTCCATGATCGGTTTGCACGATCCGGAAAAAATAGAATCGGAAACTGGAACCGCGTATCGTACCGCGTATAAATTAGAAAAGATTATTCTCGAGCCTATAGCTAAAAAATTGGCGGAAATTGTGGTTAAAAGGATAGAAGACTTTAAAGAACACATACCGATTATAACGACGTTAGGAAATCCGTTTATGAAGAGTCGTCATTGGGAACAGGTTTCGGAAATTGTTGGATTCCCGATAAAAGTTGATAAAAATATGACATTGGCCAAGGTACGAATTGTTATTAATTATTATTTTGACGAAAAATATATATCATGAATATAATTTTTAATCGATTAACGTACAATTTGTGTCGAGATAGATTTTGGATTATGGTTTAGCCGATTACGTGAAAAAATTCGAAACAATTTCGGAATATGCTACGAAGGAAGGAAATTTGGAGAAAGCTTTGAACAAAATGTATTTGGATTGGTCAGACGTAGCGTTTACAGTTAATTCTTATCGCGATACTGGTACTTACGTTATAGCTAGTGTCGATGATATACAATTATTGTTGGACGATCATTTGACCAAAGCACAGACTATGAAAAATTCTCTTTACATCAAACCCTTTGAACAAGAAACCCTGTGAGTCATATTTAATTGACTTTTAAACTGGCAATAATATTTATGTTGAAAAATATTCATTGAAATTTGTGTATTCATTAGATTTGTATTATTATTTTTTACAGCGAATGGGAAACAAAATTACTTTTGTTGCAAGATATCATGGATTATTGGTTAGCCGTGCAATCAACTTGGATGTATCTCGAACCAATATTTTCTTCGCCAGATATTCAACAACAAATGCCGGAAGAAGGTAGACGATTCAGTGCTGTCGATAAGGTACATTTTTGTTTTCATTCATAATTGTTAATTGTTAGAAGAAAAAAAAAACTCATACACACATGCAAAATTTAATTTTATCGAAAAACAGATTTGGCGAGAGATCATGACAGCGGTTGTGATCGATCCAAAAGTTATGTCGGTTATACAAATCGAAAAGATGTTGGAACGTTTAAAGAAATGTACGAATTTACTCGATCTCGTGCAAAAAGGTTTGGTAGCTTATTTGGAGAAAAAGAGATTATACTTTGCTAGATTTTTCTTTTTATCGAACGACGAGTTATTAGAGATTTTATCGGAAACCAAAGATCCTACCAGGTAAATGGCGTGACAATTGAAAGAAAATAATTAATTATTTTTTATATTCTTAAGAGAGAAAAAATCTATGACCCGTCGTTAAATTTGATTTGAACGTCTGGTCTTGTTCCACAGAGTTCAACCGCATTTAAAGAAATGTTTCGAGGGTATTGCGAAACTTAGTTTCACGGATAAAATGGAAGCAACTGCGATGGAATCTTCGGAAGGTGAAATGGTCGTGTTAGAAGATATAATCGACACCGTTGCTGCACGGGGACAAGTAGAAAAGTGGCTTTTACAATTGGAGACTGTTATGAAGAAGAGCGTTAGGGCACAAGTAAATCATAACTGTTACTATTTAATCAATATTATTAGATAATGATACACTATTTGAATTTTTATTGGTTTAGTAATAGAACTATGCTAACTAAGATTATGATTGTTCCAGGTCATAGGGGCAAAAAATGCATTTGTAACTAAAGTTAGATCACTATGGACATTAGATTGGCCTGGTCAGACAATTTTATGTGTCAGCAAACTTTATTGGACGGCTCATACGACCGATGCATTTTCTTTTGGCCTTGACGGTCTTAAAAATTACATACAAATTTGTACGAATGAACTTAATGAAATTGTCTTGTTGGTACGCGGAACTTTGTCCAAACAAAATCGAACTACCTTGGGTGAAGAATCTTTTAATTGATAATTTCAAATTTATATATATCAGAAACAAATGTTTCCTTAATATCGCGTCATCTCAATAATTATATATTACATCTTTTTTCCTTTATTATTATTTTAGAAGCTTTGGTAACTTTAGACGTTCACGGAAGGGACGTTGTAACGGAATTATTTGAACAAGGAGTTACCGAAGCAACAAACTTTAAATGGCTTTCTCAAATGAGATATTATTGGACAGTTAGTATATATTATTTGTACTTTTTTAATTGTTATATTTTAAAATATAAATCTAATCATACACACACACACACACACATATTTCTTTTTATATATATTCACTCAATTATTGTAGAAAAAAAATTTGTGCGTGATGATGATAAACACGACATTGCAATACGCTTACGAGTATTTAGGAAATTCGTCGAGATTAGTGATAACACCATTGACAGATAGGTGTTACAGAACATTATTCGGTGCATTGCATTTAAATCTTGGTGGTGCACCGGAAGGTCCTGCTGGTACTGGTAAAACAGAAACCACGAAGGACATGGCAAAAGCTGTTGCCAAACAATGCGTTGTATTTAATTGTTCAGAAGGTTTGGATTACATAGCATTAGGAAAATTTTTCAAGGTAAAAGATTTGTTGTTATTTCATTGTTCAAAATCGTCACAGTCTATTTTATTGTTTAACATTTTAATCAGGGTTTGGCTGCGACCGGTGCTTGGTCTTGCTTCGACGAATTTAATCGAATCGATTTGGAAGTTCTCTCCGTCGTAGCTCAACAAATTTTAACGATACAACGAGCAATAAACGCTGCCAAAGAGACGCTAATCTTCGAGGGTACTGAATTGAAATTAGATCCAACTTGTGCTTGTTTCATTACAATGAATCCAGGTTACGCTGGGCGAACTGAATTACCTGACAATTTGAAAGCGCTTTTCAGACCGGTTGCTATGATGGTTAGTGGAAAATTAATAATTATAGAAAATAAACTAACTAAGAAAACTATATATATATATATAGTATACATATACTGAATGAAAATAATTATATTTAATTTTTATACAAGGTACCGGATTATGCTTTAATAGCAGAAAATACCCTATACTCTTATGGTTTCTATGAAGCTCGTCCATTATCCGTGAAAATTGCCATAGCCTACAGGCTTTGTTCCGAACAGTTATCCAGTCAAAATCATTATGATTATGGCATGAGAGCCGTGAAATCTGTTCTGATAGCTGCGGGCAATTTAAAGCTGAAGTATCCTGAAGAAAGCGAGGATATTTTAATGCTCCGTAGTATCAAGGACGTTAATCTACCCAAATTTCTTAATCAGGATATACCATTATTCTACGTAAGTAGATATGTTTGTGTGTGTGTGTTCGTCTATTATAAGCTTTAAATTTTATAAAATCAAAAGACTCTCCCCTCTTAAGTTGTACAGAAATTTCGTTGCTTTAATATATAATCATATATTGATAATATTTTATTTTTTATTTATTTATTTCAGGGTATTATGTCAGATCTTTTCCCAAACGTGACACTTCCTACGCCAGATTACACGCACTTGAACGAATGTACGCAAAAGGCTTGCGATAAAATGAATATTCAATGCGTTCCCGTATTTCTCGAAAAGATACAACAGATTTATGAAATGATGATCGTCAGGCATGGTTTCATGATCGTTGGTTTTCCATTTGGTGGTAAAACTACGGCGTATAGGGTATTAGCTGAAGCACTTAAATTATGCGAAGAACAGGTAAACATAATATTAATTATCACGGTGAATACTATGTTGTATTTAAATTATATATCAATGTATTTATTTAGAATCTTTTGGAAGAACACAAAGTAGAGATAATCGTGATTAATCCCAAAGCTATAACTATGGGCCAATTGTATGGCGAATTTGATCCTGTTTCTCACGAATGGAAGGATGGTATATTAGCAGTAAGCTATCGTGCTTTTGCTACTTCTACCAACGACAATCGCAAATGGTTGATCTTCGACGGACCCATCGACGCATTTTGGATCGAAAGTATGAACACGGTTTTGGATGATAATAAAAAATTATGTCTTATGAGCGGTGAAATTATCCAATTGGCATCAACTACCAATTTACTTTTTGAACCGATGGATCTCGAAGCTGCTTCCCCGGCAACAGTATCACGTTGCGGTAATTTCAACCATTTTCCTTCTCTTCCACGCGTCGTGATACTTTTTATCTGAAAATAATAAGTTATATTTTGTGGGTAACTAGGTATGATTTATATGGAACCCAGTGCGTTAGGATGGAATCCATTATTAAAATCATGGATTGCTATGACTCCTGAAAAAATAGATCCTTGGTTAAAGAATTTCCTTTACAAATCATTGTTCATGAGATTTTGTAAACCATTGTTCCGTTTCTTACGTCGCGGTAATTTAAAGGTATATATATGTATATATATATATATATATCATTTATCATTTTATTTGTGTATATAATATTATTGAAAATGATTAAATAGAATTTTGGATTGATAGGAATTGTGTCCGATGCCAGATTCGAATCATTTGCGATCGATTACGTATCTGATGGATTGTTTCATCGAAGAATATCGGGATGAGAAAATAGCCAAACGTATCGATGAATACGATCTTCGTGCTCAAATAGAGGTAAATGATATTTAATTGAACTTGGATAATAATTCGTCGTATAATTTGTGAGATTTATTCGATAAAACAATATACGATGATAACAGGGATCATTTTTCTTCTCTTGTATCTGGGCAATGGGTGGTACTTTGGAAGCAAGTTCCAGAGAACAATTCAGTATACTATTCCGTGGCTTTATGGAAAAAGAATTTCCATTATCTCTGATGGAAATGTATCGTATAGAAGAAGCGATACCACAACCAGAAAAACCATACATATTCGTGATGCCTAAGGATCATCTTGTCTTTGATTACAGATTCATTAAAGAGGTTAATAAACCATTGAATTTATACAACATAGTTTTAATCGATATATAAATATATAAAATGATTATACTTTTTTAGGGTAAAGGGAAATGGAAATTATGGTCGGACGAATTAATGAACGTACCACCAATACCTCGTGACATTCCAGTCAATCAAATAATTGTTCCAACTGTTGAAACAATACGTTATACGGCACTTTTCAAGCTTTTGGTACAACACGAGAAACCTGTTCTTTTTGTCGGACCAACGGGTACGGGGAAATCCGTTTACATTATTGATTTCTTATTAAAGAAGAATAATCCTGCCGTTAACAAGCCATTATTCATCAATTTTTCTGCCCAAACAACGGCAAATCAAACACAAGAAATAATAATGAGCAAGCTTGACAGAAGACGGAAAGGTGTATACGGTCCTCCGGTTGGTAAACGATGGATTATTTTTGTCGATGACTTATCGATGCCGTTGAAAGAAACTTATGGCGCACAACCACCGATAGAATTGCTTCGTCAAATGTTGGATCATTGGCAATGGTAATAAAAAATTATCTTTAACGAAAGTGTTAATGGTAATTAAAAACAAATCTTTAGCAAAAGTTAGATTATTTATAATTTTCTTATTTTTTGTTTTGTTTTTTTTTCATAAACGTAGGTACGATTTAAAAGAAATAATACCAATTAAATTAATCGAATTACAATTGATGTGTGCTATGTCACCGCCTATTGGTGGTGGTAAGGATATCACTCCACGATTCAAAAGACACTTTTTTACCTTAACGATATCCGATTTCGAGGATGACGTTATGATTATGATATTCAGTAAAATTATATTATGGCATCTTGATACAAGGTCGGTGAATTATTTTTTTAACATCATCATCATCATCATTTGCATTTACAATAACGTTCATTTTGTTTTCATTTATTTAGAGGTTTCAGCAAAGAATTTGATCCGTGTATCGATCAGATTGTTTTAGCAACTTTAAATATTTATAAAGAAAGTCTTCAAAATCTTTTACCAACACCAGCTAAGTGTCATTATTTGTTCAATTTACGAGATTTTTCCAGAGTCATACAGGTTTATAATAATAATAATTGTTTCATTTATATATAGATCAAAATAATAAATCAATTTATTTTTAGATAAATTTTCTAAATTTCCTATTAAATATAATTATGCATATAATATTTATTAAATTTAGGGAATACTCCTGTCCGTTCCCGAAGCAATGTCTACTTTGACAAGTATGAAAAGATTATGGGTTCATGAGATATTACGCGTTTTTGGTGATAGATTGGTCGATGATTTGGATATGAATTGGTTAATCGAACAATTGCATTTGACATTGAACAAACATATGGAAATCTCGATGGAAGAATTGTTCGAAGATTTTCTTCAAGATGGTTCAACTGACAAGGTATTATATATATATGCGCATATTGTTTATATATATATATATATATAAACAATTATGATCAATGTATTTTATTATTTCATAAGAATTTATCTGATTCTCATAATCTCAGATCACCGAATACGAATTGAGAAAATTATTGTATTGCGATTTTGCTGATACAAAAGTTGACGTACGTGTGTACAAGGAAGTAACTGATTTGGAACAATTGCGAGAAATAGTGGAAAATTTTTTAACGGAATATAATACTATGTCGAAGAAACCAATGCAATTAGTCTTGTTCCGGTTAGAATTCGTTGCAATTAATTAAAATCAACAAACGTTTCGAACAATATTCACTTGAAAATGTATATTTTCTGTATGGGTACAGTTTTGCCATAGAACATTTATCAAAAATCTCACGGATCATCAAGCAACCAAGGAGTCATGCACTTTTAGTTGGTGTCGGTGGTTCAGGAAGAGAATCGTTGACCAGATTGGCCTCGCACATTTGCGATTACGACGTTTTTCAAGTTGAGATTAGCAAGCAATATGGCGTTAACGAATGGCATGAGGATATAAAAGCGATCATGCGTAAAGCAACTGCCACAGAATTACATTCAACGTTTCTTTTCAACGATGTTCAAATAAAAGAGGAAAGCTTTTTAGAAGATATCAGCAATATGCTGAATTCTGGAGAAGTATATTGTTATATATATACAGTGAAGAGAGAAATAATTGATCAAAAAAAAAATGGTGATTTATATTTAATGATTCATTTTTATAGGTACCTAACATATTCAATAACGAAGAAAAAGCTGAAATTTGCGAGAAAATGAGACAAATCGATCGACAACGGGACCGAGCTTATCAAACCGATGGTAGTTTGGTTGCGTTATTTAATTTGTTCGTTCAAATAGCACGCGATCAGCTTCACATCGTTGTCGCCATGTCACCGATCGGTGATGGTTTTAGAAATCGAATTAGGAAGTTTCCAGCTTTGGTTAATTGCTGTACCATCGACTGGCTTCAAGTATATATATTAACAAAAATAAATATTTCATTCATTCAAATTAATTTCATATCCGTTAACGGAATTTTTATTATACCCTTGTTATATATTTATTCGAGGCATGGCCAGAGGACGCGTTGATAGCAGTTGCAACGAGATTTTTATCCGAAATCGAATTATCCGATCACGAGAAACAAGTTGGAATAGACATGTGTCGTTTCTTTCACATGTCAACAGAAAAATTGAGCGTTGAATTTTGGATACGTCTCAGCAGGCACAACTATGTAACACCGACGTCTTATCTCGAGATGATCAATACCTTCAAGGACCTTTTAAACAAGAAAAGACGGTAAACATATATTAGAATCAGATATTTCAATTTGTTTTTCTCTCTCTCTCTCTCTCTCTCTCTCCCTCTCCAAAAACAATATATTTTATTTCAAATGAAATAATTCTTTATATGACAACAGAGAAATATTACTCTCCAAAGCAAGATACGAGGGTGGTTTGGGTAGATTAGACGGTACGCAACAACAGGTCACCGATATGCAAGAAACTTTAAGAAAATTGCAGCCTCAATTGGTAACTGCTACTCAGGACGTTCAAAAAATGTTGATTGACATTGAAAAAGAAAATCAAGAGGTGGCAGAATTTGAGAAAATAGTTAAACTCGACGAAGCAGCGGCCCAGGTTGTGAACGGAGATAAAAATGAAAAATAAATCATTGAAATCGTTGATATATATATTGTCGAAAATTGCGTCATTGAAAGTTATCTTTGTTGTAGGCCGTCGCTGACGAAGCAGCAGCAATTAAAGCGGAATGCGACGCGAATTTAGCAGAAGCAATGCCATTTTTGTTAACTGCTCAGGCAGCTCTCGATACTTTAACTTTATCTGATATCGCAGTAGTCAAAGCTATGAAACATCCGCCCTATGGTGTTAAACTTATCGTCGAAAGTGTTTGCGTTCTTAGGGTATACATTGTTCAGTTTAATATTAATCTTAAATCGAACATAATCTCGTCGTTTCTATATTATTATATGTTAGAACTTATTCGCATTGTTCATATAGATGATCATTATATTTGTAGGAAATAAAACCAGATAGAATACAAACGAAGGAAGGTGTAACGGAAGATTATTGGAAGGCTGCTTTAAGAATGCTCAGCGATACTAAATTTCTTGATTCGTTGTTGAACTTTGACAAAGATAATATCCCCCAGAAAGTGATAGAAAATATTAGGAAAAATTATTTGACAAAACCCGAATTTGATCCGGAAAAAATGAAAAAAGTATCCAATGCGTGCGAGGGACTTTGTCGATGGATTATAGCTATGTCGGAATACGACAAAATAGCAAAAGTGGTTGCACCGAAAAAAAAAGCTTTGGCAGAAGCTGAAGCAACTTATGGAGAAGCATTAGATGCATTGAATTTAAAACGGCAACAATTGAAAGAAGTTCAAGTATATATTGTTCAAATAATCACAAATTTATTTTTCTACGTTGTACTTTTCTTTCATTATTATTATTATTATTATTATTGTCATTGCCAGGACAAATTGGCTGCTCTCGAAGATTTGTTGAATCAAAGAAAGGCAGAATTTCAGGCAATGTCCGATCAGGTCACCGATTGCGAAGTAAAAATAAAACGTGCGGAAGAACTTATTGGCGGATTGGGTGGAGAATACACTCGTTGGTCGCAATGTGCTCAAGAACTCGGGGAAAGGTATAGACAATCGTTTTATATTTTTTTAATTGAAAGCAAGATGAAGATCGTATTTAACTAAAGGAGTATGAAAATGTATTTTAAAGTTAATTAATATCCTTTATAAAACGTTGATTTATTTGTTATTGTTAGTTCATTGTTCTCTCTGAATTTAATTTCATGTTTTATTGTCAATTTTATAAACGAGAAAGTTTTATACAATTTCTTTTTTACGTTAATTAAATTGTTCGTAGATATTATCGACTAACCGGAGACGTTATTATTGCTTCTGGAGTGATCGCATATCTCGGCCCATTTACAATGCCATATCGTGTACGTCAGGTCGCAGAATGGATAGAACTATGCACTAGTTTGAAAGTTGTATGCACTAAAGATTTTCAATTGCGAGATGTTCTAGGTGATCCTGTTTTAATTAGAGATTGGAATATATTTGGATTACCGAGTGACGTGTTTTCCGTTGACAATGGTATCATTGTTACGTAAGTATACGCGTGAACCCCATCATCAATATATTATTATTATTATTATTATTATTTCATACATTGAAATTGCAATTCGGTGTTATAGAAATGCTAGAAGATGGCCATTGATGATAGATCCTCAGAATCAAGCTAATAAATGGATCAAAAATATGGAAAAAACTAATAATCTCAGTATCATTCGATTAACACAAATGGATTACATAAGAGTTTTAGAAAATGCTATTCAATTTGGGCAGCCTGTTTTATTAGAAAACATTGAGGAAGAATTGGACGCTGTTTTAGAACCTATCCTTTTAAAACAAACGTTCAAACAAAGTGGTGCTTTGTGTATTAGATTAGGCGATACCGTTGTTGAATATAATAGTAATTTTAGGTAAGCTTTTATCATTTAATTAATATTAAAACCGCGAGTACCCTCGCGTATGCTCTTTCAATATTTTCTTTTTTTTTTTTTGTAGACTCTACATAACAACAAAATTAAGAAATCCTCATTACTTACCGGAAATAGCGGTGAAGGTTACTTTGGTAAACTTTGTAATTACTCCGGAAGGATTGGAGGATCAATTACTTGGCATAGTTGTTGCTAAAGAAAGGCCGGATTTGGAAACTGAAAAGAATGCACTCATTTTACAGAGTGCCATGAATAAAAGGTAATTTTCATTGCTATCATTTTTTATTTTTTTTCCATTTATTTATATCGTGCGTAACTTTTATTCGAAATTTATATATATATATATGTATATATCCAGATTATTGAAGGAAACGGAGGATAAAATTTTAGAAGTATTGTCAGTAGCCGAAGGTAATATTCTTGAAGATGAAGAGGCAATCGATATATTAACGTCATCTAAAAATTTGAGCGACGATATTCACGTGAAACAGGCGGCAACCGAGGTTACTGAAAAGTCGATCGATGCTGCTAGACTTCAATATACACCAATTGCTATTCATTCTACCGTATTATTTTTCACTATAGGTATGACTCGTGAAATATATATATATAATACGAAATGATTTATTTTCGTTAGTTAACTTATTAAATTATTTTATTTGACAGCTATATTAGCAAATATAGATCCGATGTATCAATATTCATTAGTATGGTTCGTTAATCTTTATAACATGGCAATTGAAAATACAGATCCTGCGGATAATTTGGAAGAACGTTTGAAAGATCTCATCGAGTATTTCACTTATTCGCTTTATTTAAATATATGCAGATCCCTGTTCGAAAAGGATAAACTATTGTTTTCATTGCTTCTCGTTATTAATTTGTTGAAACAACAAGAAAAACTTCCCATATCTCAATGGATTTTTCTTTTAACGGGTGGAGTTGGTCTTGATAATCCTTACGTTAATCCAACCGCATGGTTGCCTGTTAAACAATGGGACGAATTATGTAGGCTTGACAAAGTCGAGGGATTTATTGTGAGATATTATTTAAATATTATTTACAAATTCGAAAGATATAGAGTGAAAAAAATAAATAAATAAAAATTAATATTCGCGAACATTTATATGAATTTCGAATCATTCAGGGTATTAGAGAAAATTTTATCGAGAAAAGTAAAGAATGGAAGGCAGTGTTCGATTCGAAGGAACCGCAAAATACGAAACTACCAGTTCCATATGACGATATCAATTTGTTTCAAAGACTCCTGGTATTGAGATGCGTTAGACCGGATAAAATCATACCAGCTGTACAGAATTTCATCGAAGGTTTATATACATTTTCCATTGATCATTCGGTTCTAATCAATTATTGAGTTGAACGTTAAAATAGTTATTTTTAGTTGAACTTGGTCCAAAATTTGTCGAGGCACCTACGTTCGATTTAGTTTCATCATATGCCGATTCGAATAATTGCATTCCATTGATATTTGTGTTAACTCCTGGAGCCGATCCAGCTCAAGTGTTGCTAAAATTTGCCGACGATCAAGGCTACGGAGCAAATCGATTATTTTATTTGTCTTTGGGACAAGGTAAAAAAAAGAAACAATATTCACTTATTTATTATATTAGAATTTTAGAAAAAAAAAACAATCTTTATTCCTTTTCCGTTAACTTCTATTACTTTCATTGTGCTTTCATTATTCAGGTCAAGGACCAATCGCTGAGGAATTAATAGAAGACGGTGTTGTTTATGGTCATTGGGTGGTCTTACAGAACTGTCACCTCGCCAAGAGCTGGATGCCAACCTTGGAAAGGATTTGCGAAGGTTTCATGCCTGATGCAATACATTCGGAATTTCGATTATGGTTAACCAGTTATCCAGCAGAACATTTTCCCGTTTCGGTTCTTCAAAACGGTATTAAAATGACGAACGAACCTCCCAAAGGGTTGAGAGCTAACATCATTCGATCCTACACGAATGATCCGATAAATGATCCTGACTTTTTTGAATCCTGTAGTAAAAATGAAACTTTTAAAAAATTACTCTACTCGTTATGCTTCTTTCACGCAATCGTACAAGAAAGAAGAAATTTCGGTCCTATCGGTTGGAACATACCTTATGAATTTAATGAAACGGATTTGAGAATAAGCGTTTTACAGTTGCACATGTTTTTAAACGAGTACGAAGAAATACCATTTGAAGCACTCAAGTATCTTACCGGAGAATGTAATTATGGCGGTAGGGTTACCGACGAATGGGATCGTAGAACATTGATTACCATTTTAAAAATATTCTATTGCGAGTAAGTGTTTAAACAATTTTGTTCCTTCATTGAACAAATATATTTTCATTTGAATTTTGTATTTATTTAACTCATAGAGAAATATTCGGAGAAAACGTTTATTACTTCGACCCCGCTTCGAAGATTTATTATTGTCCAGCAGTTAGAGAATACGAGGCCTATGTGGAATACACAAAAAATCTTCCATTGATCACCGCCCCAAGTGTTTTTGGAATGAACGAAAATGCGGATATTATTAAAGATCAGCACGAAACTTCGTTGCTTTTCTCTTCTCTTTTATTAACTCAGGTAAAATCGATTGCAATACACTATCGTTCATTTTAACTTTAATAATAATATTGAATTATTTAATTCTCACCAATTTATAAGGATCGTCTGGTACGTATATTTATTTTTTATTTTTATTTTAAATTATTTATTTTTCTATTTGTTTACTTTTAATCACGTTTTCGCAAATATTTTAACACGCAGGATCTATGGGAAATAAGGGTAAATATTATTTTTCTCGTATGCAAAAAGAAGAAATTCGATTGATCCATATTTTTCGAATGAAAAAAAAAAAAGAAACTTCTCGAATATGATAAGACGCAAAAATAGATTAAACGAGTTTGCACGCAACTGAACGATAAATTTTCTTACGTCGCTTTAACAGGAGACGGTTAAAACTGGAACTGGGGCGATGTCGAACGACGAGATAGTCTTTAACGTGTCTGCTGATATTTTGAGTAGACTTCCAGTGGATTATGATCTTCAAGTAGCGATCGAAAAATATCCAGTGTCCTATAGTCAAAGCATGAACACCGTATTGGTACAGGAAATGGGTCGTTTCAATAAATTATTGAGCTGCATACGAAGCAGCTTGATCAATATTCAAAGAGCCATAAAAGGTCCTTCATTTTTTGTCCCTTTTTTTTCCATAATCAATCGTAAAAAATTGTCTCCATTTCGTATCGTTGGCCATTTTTAAATTTGATAATCATCTCGTCGTCGTTAGGTCTCATCGTTATGTCTTTCGAACTGGAAGATATTTATGGAACAATATTGACCGGTAAAATACCGTCCTATTGGATGCAACATTCCTATCCTTCTCTAAAACCTCTCGGTAGTTACATAAATGACTTTTTACAACGTTTAATTTTTCTACAGGTAACTCTTACCGCAAGACTATCAATTTCGGTATGTAAAACGATAAATTTTGTATTATATCATCGCTTTATTAATTTGCTTCACAGAAATGGTACGACGAAGGTCCCCCTACGGCTTTCTGGTTATCAGGATTTTATTTTACTCAAGCATTTTTAACCGGCAGCAGGCAGAACTATGCGAGAAAATATAGTATACCTATCGATCATTTGGTTTATGACTTCATTATTCTCAAAGAAACTGTTTTTAATACACCACCCGACGATGGTGTTTATATTTACGGATTATTTTTGGATGGCGCTAGATTTGATAAAAAAAATATGAAATTGGAGGAAAGCATACCCAAAGTTCTTTACGACAATATGCCTTTTGTAAATATATTTCATATAATATACATAATATATCTGATTATATTAATTTTTTATTGATATTTGAATGAAAATAATGATATATTATTTTTATTCGGTTTTCTTTTATGTTGCTTTTTGCGCCTTACTCTGTATTACGTACGTACGCCTCTAGTCGTTGCTTTTTATGGATTATGTAACAAGTCTAACGCGTGTAATATTAAACTTTATTTGCAATTGAATAGATGACGTGTCATGCACGAGCAATCGCTTTAAACGAGTCATAATTTTTAAATACGTTATTTCTTTCAGATGTGGTTACTACCAACGAAAACAGAGGATATCAAGGAAAGACAAATTTATACATGTCCTGTTTATAAAACAAGCGAACGTCGGGGAATATTATCGACTACAGGACATTCGACAAATTTTGTTATAGCTATATGGTTACCTACAATAATGCCATCGGAACATTGGATTATGCGAGGAGTTGCAATGCTTTGTCAATTATCAGAATAAAAACATTTTATTATCAATTAAGGCGGGCTTATTTAAATTTTCGTCATGAAAAATATCGATATTTGTCTACCCAATCGACAGAGGGTGCTGTAGACTGTTAGAACCTGATTAGTCGAACTACAAAGCGAGAACCAATCGCATGAGCTGCTAGTTCGAACCCACTTGCATCTTTTATAGCTATATATTTATTATATTATAGTTCAATAGATGAAGGATATATAAAAAGATAATAAGTGTTAGTGCAGAGATTTTATCTTACATTATTACGTAGGTGTTGCATCTAGAGATTGTACTTTTTTATGATCAGATTCATTAGATAAAGGAAGGAAGAAATATAGTGATAGAAATCCATTTAAAGATGGCCGCACCTTCGCGGCTGGATTACTGTGTCACGTCAATTTTACGTGTCCCTTCGGGATTGCGAGAGGAGTTGGTAGCTGATTAAGTCGTGCGTGATACTTATATTGGTTGGAAATTAAAATCGTTATTAAAAATGATCTGATCGCAGTAATACGATCGCATAATGAATTGTCATCAAATATTAAGCGGAGCCTGCAATGCAGGCGACCGCTGTTACGCTGTCGGTTCTGTCGAAGGAATATCTTTTACCGTGAGTTTATTACTTTATTTCCTTTAGATTCATTTTTTCTCAGTGGAACCATATATGTATATATTGTACACGTATTTTATGATATCATCTTAATCATGATAACGATCTTATGTCGTGATACCAATTAAAGAAAAATAAATTTGACTTAAAGAAAACGAATGTCAGCTGATTAAAAGACACTTTTGTTGTGCATACATTTCCTCTATGCCTTCGCTAAAATCATTTATTCGATATTGTATAATGTTGCAACATTATAACAACTGGATCTCTTTATCTATAAATATGCATTTTATATTTTTTTCTAATACACTTTTTTTTATTTCCACATATTATCAAACATTTTTCAATATTTCATATAATAAATTTATATACATATTATATATACATTTTGATATAATAAATATTTATTCTTGCATATGCAATTAATATAATATTTGGTATTAAATTTAGGCTTATGCCGCTGGTTGCAACATTGTCATTTTGGCTAACAATTTTGAGCGTGTTCAAATTATACCAGGAGCTGTACACAACTATATCAGGATTAGTTGTTTGGATTGTAGTACGGATACAGGAAAGATTGCTGCAGCTTATGAAAATCAAGTCTGTATATTTGAACCGACACCGCTCATACATAGTACTTGTTCACATGTACGTATTATATGTTTTTTATGATACTTAATTTTTATTATAAGACCAAGAATATAATGTAAGTTTATCGAATCTTTTACCTATCATTTTATTTTAGCAATTGGAATATCGTTGGGTTCAAACAGGCAGCTTACAAACAGAGTCTAATATCAGTTCTCTGTCATGGAATTTAGAAGGAACGAGGCTATTAACAGGTGGCGAACTTTTACAATTATGGCATCAAAATATTACGCCATTCCAAGAAGAGCATAGTAAGTTTAACATATATATATGCGCTGATAAGATTAAGAAAGAAAATGTATTTGTATTTGGACTCTTGTAATAAGACAACTCTCTATTTGTATTTATTGATTTAACAATATTATACACAGCTGCGAAGGCAAAAACGTTACAGTCAGAAGAAAATGCTACGAGTGGAAATGATCAAAATATTACCACACACTCTTCCCAAGATCGTGAGTTCATTCGTTTTGAGAATGAACATTAGTATGTTTTGCATGTGGAAATATTGCATTACTATAAAGCTTTAAATATATATATATTTTTATTATTAAATTATTATTTATTATTAATTTTTGAATATATATTACCAAATTCGATTATTTTATTTAAATGAGATTTTCTTCTTTTTTATTTAAATAAATATTTATATATTAGTTAATATATAGAACTATCACTTATGCTAGTCGATATTATAATTTGAATTTTTCCTAATAATTTTATATAATATAAAATTCAGCTAAATTAATTTAATAAGAGTTCAAAGCAGCAATAATTTGATATTATTTAGCATTATGAGCCATAATAATCAAGCATGAATGTAAGCTTAAACATATTATATTAGCAAGTTAATGCTTTATATGCTATATGTTGTATCCCTAAAATATATATCGAGTATGTAAAGGACGATATGTTTACATATATTTTTTATTTTATTAAATATAACTTAGTAATAGAACTACATAAAAAATTTATGCAAACTTATACACATGCATATTTTTTTGTAGCCGGAGCAGTGACATTTTCCATTGGAGGTGAAGCTGAAAGTCCTGGACCTGGGGATTCCAATAACGCTAATGATCCTGGTGCATGGAATTGTGTATGGAAATGTCGTACAGCTACACCAGTTCATCTTATGAGATTTAGTCCGGATGGAACTTTGTTCGCAACAACAGGCATGAATGACAGATTAGTCAAAATCTGGTTTGAAAATAAACAAAGTCAGTATTTTATTTGTATATGAAATACTCAAATGAATATGTCATATAATTCTATATTTATTTGTTCATATTTAGTTTTTCCATTGCGAAGCATAGATCAATCAAATTTTAGTCAATCATTATCAAGCGATAGTTATAGCTTTGTCTACGTAGCACATCCACGTGCTGTAACTCACTTATCGTGGAGAAAAACAAGCAAATATATGCCCAAGTACGTATACCATATGGAGAAAAATCAAATTTAATTAAAATCTAATGTTTAGAATTTTAATACAAATTATTTTTTAACAATCAGAGGTTCGGTATCTAACATGTTGGTAACTTCATGTCGGGATAATATTTGTCGAGTGTGGACAGAAACTATACCACCTGAAATAGAAGGTTTGGCTAATATGAGTCAATTCGAAGGTTCTGATAGACATGGACATCATGGAAAACATCGCCATCATAATATGCATAAACATAGATTTATGCAACGACTGAAGCATATGAAGTATGTTGAACATATTTTAATATTTTAATAATATAATGTTTATAAATTTCATACAAGTCACACACGATTAAAAAATATTTTCTACACAAGTTGTTTTATATTATTGTCGTTTTCTTTAGAACATGTTTTCATATTCGTCGCCATGCGAAACAACAACATCAAGCAGGTCATGCGGCACCTACCTTGCCAACTTTACCTTCAACATATTCTGTGCATGATTTTCATAATAATTATCAAAGTTCTGGCCATTATCCAGGGATGCACTTTCACTTAGCAGCAAGCATTAATGCAGAGACTGGTATTGTAATATATTAAATATTTCAAACATGTAGATAATATTACTGCGATATAATTTTTAATATATATTTATCTTACAGATATTCCGTTAGTACCAAGTTTAATAACTGGGGATCCCGAAAGAGAACCAAATTTTATTTTACATTGGCTTAATAACAAAGAAATGCATTTTACCATGCAGGCTGAAAGTATTTTACAAGAGCTTACACGAAAAGTAGTAGAAAAGGAAGAGGGATTACAACAACAAGAAGTTGATCATGTAGATCACGATTTGGAGGATGAATATGCATTGAGTAAATTATATAACTTCTATATATTTGTCTTTACTCTGTTATCATTTTCAATTCATCGCATGTTATCTTAATCATTTTTTAATGTTTTATCACTGTTCTTGTCGTAATTAATTTATTATCTCTGTAATGTATAACATAATAACTTCAATTTTAGAAATATATCAAATATACATATATATTAGGTGTAGAAATTAATTCGGTGCCTTGAATAAATACAAAATTTATTTTTAAAAAGCACCTAATTAATTTCTACACTTAATAAATATATATATATATTAATAAAATGAATATATAACAAGACCTCACAATGCATGAAATATAGTTCTTCGTTAGTGAATGTCTTTATTAGGAAGCATCTTATCCTGTTATGGTATGCTTCACGCAGAGAAAGGGAATCGATCGCAAAATGCACAGAAGCAAGGGGTTGGTGGACGAACTGCAAGTCAAGAAGATCACAGTAGCGATGAACATCATACTACTCATACTACTTCCTCTCATCATAGTTTGGCTCATAGTGCACATTCTCATCAAAGTCTTAGGTATGACACTATGATTTTCTACGTCATACAATATTATCACATTTTATTAATAATTTGTTGGATTAATCTAATAATTTATATTACAGCAACACTACATCTATAAATTCTATTGCAACAGATGCAACATCTTCGATGAATCATGCACCAGATTCGTTGGATACAAAAATAGAAACATTATTAAGAGATTGGCATCATAATCCAGATTTGCTTTTTTCAATTCATCCTATAGATGGAAGCTTTTTGATATGGCATATTGAATGGTTAGATGAATATCATCCTGGTTCATTTAGACAAGCACAGATTTCATTTTCAACGCGTATACCAAATGCATTTCCTCTTGGCGATGCATCTACTATGAGCCACAATGTATCCATGTATTCTCATAATACTGGAGGACCTTTATTGAACATTCGAGAAGTTGCTAAATCTTCAACTAAATCTACAGATCGTAAGTTCTCGAATAATAAAAGTCATCCCAATATCATTAGGGATATAAAATATTTACATTTTGTAGTACCTTATCTATTTTATAAATCATTAAGAATTTTTTAAAGCTGCTGAAGTAACGACTCCATTACCAAGCCTTATCGAACAAGACGAGGAGCAATCGACATTAACTTCAAGAGCAGGACAAGAATTACTGAATAGTGTCCAAAATATTGATCAAAGTCAAAATAAAACAACTTCCACAGGTGTTAACAATGCAGAAAGTGGAAAGAATCAAGAAGCTGTTAATGATTTGTTAACTCATCCTAGCCCAATGGTATCAATGGTGTCAAAGCACTCCAATGGAACGTTAAATCTTTGGCAGCTAACATTCGCTGATAAAACCAAATTCTCTCAGGTAAGTTTTTTGTCATTTTATTTGTTTCCCACTCATGAAAATGAAATATATTTTTAACACAATGTTTTTTATA